GTATTTTATTAAAGTGATGAATTGGTCTCACGATGCAATTAAATTTGAATAAACCTTGCCTCCGAGTCCTTCATTTAACTTTAAGTGACTTTAACTCGTATTCAAGATCTACTGATCCAAAGACACTTAGCCTGTCAATGCCATTCTGAGAGAAGAATGGGAGAGCACTTTTGAACTGTTTCGTTGCTATTTTGAATGAGTTTAAACCTGGTGTCATGAACTCCCCTTAAATAACAGATGAAGATTGGCTTTCTTGCACGCGACGCCAATATCTACGAAACCAAAGATCTCGTACTCTATGAGGAGATTGCCCTAATTCCGGGCTTCCAAAGGCCAGTGGTCTGTTTGGTTGGGGCTCGTGGCGTTGGTCGGAGAACACTGCGCAGCATGTTAATCAAGTCAAACCCCGAGCGCTATGCACCGGCGATACCGCGTAAGTTAATTCGATGCAGATTTGTCAAATTTACCGGCTGAAATGTGGCTGCCTTACTTAAATTGCTCTTTAAAAGTAGCGCAGGTTAGAAGTAATTTTTAATAAGGTGCAGTGTTGGTTCCACCTTGTATTCGCAACTTGGTCGGGCCATCAGGAAGACGTTGTGGAACGTATCTAGTCCCGTGTCCTCTGTCATAGTATTTGTGATTTCCAGCATTGTACATTCCCAGCCAACACCATCTTGGTCTTCATATCTACGATTTAATAAGGTACGTTCCACAAGGTCATCCTGCCGCTCAGACCAAATTGGGGAAATGAGGTCACTCCAAAACTATAAATCTAAAGAGAACTGCGACCAAACAAAAAGCCACAGCTAGTCACCCTGACAACAGGACCAAGTTGCGACAACGAGGTTAACCAACTTATATAAATCGAAAGGAGACTGCGACCATACCAGATGCTACAACATCTTGGTCTTCATGTAACAACAGTTTGGTTTTTATACACGAAGAGTAACTGGGTTTCGATAAATTTCCTTAAATAACCTACATTTCGTATTTAAAGTGCATGAAGAAGAAATTTGTAAGTTGATTCAACCAGAAGACGACGTCTGATTCTCGTTGTACTGCAACCGTTTGGCTGAGCCTTCCTCCATCATATTGGGGATATCATCAGAGCTGGAACTTATTCTTGTCAATGTCTCACACTAAAACTAGGTCAAGAAGACTATCCCGCTTTATCCTACCTCTTGCATATACATTAATAAAAAAAAATGAATAGGCATAAATAGATATGGAGTGCTTTGGCTAATTATCTTTCC